CAAAACAACCATATGAAATTAAAAAATAGTTTCTACAAATTAACTCCAATTCACTTTCCTACGCCCAAGCCATGCCCTAAACCCAAAACCAAATCTACAACCACCTTGTCATTGTCGTTGCTGGCCTTCACAAAATACCACCATAAATGAATGTGGTTTTAGATGAATGTGAGTTGAATTCGAGTTGTGAATCCAAAGTTTTGCTTTTGCTATAAGATTTTCAGTTGTTTGCCAAGTCATGTGTTTTTGTTTTAAAGCCCATCGTCGACGATGACGAAGTGGCTATGGAAGAAGGCAGCGGCGAAGTAGGAACTTAGTTTTGGGTTTCGGGGTGGGTAGGGATGGGGGAAGGATTTTGGAGTTAATTTGTTGAAGGTATTTTTCTAATTTCATTTGGTTAAGGGTTTGTTTGGTGATTAGGCATCTACATGTGTAAGTTACTTAACATGTAGAGAATTTTAATTAACATGTCACATTTTCATCCCCCACTTAGATACAACAATAGATGGAATCCATCCAGTGGCCAATTTAATGCAACGGAGTTAAGTTCAGTGGCCATTTGGAAGTTCCATTAAGTTCAGTGGGTAAGCCGTGACGAGGTGTAAAGTTCGGTGGCCAATGTAACATTTAAATCTAAGTAATGGGTAGAGGTTCATACCAAAACCTCGACTATCAGCTACTTATGTTAAAAATAAATAAGTCACTAAATTAAGTACAACCTTTATCAAGAATTTTACATTAGTCTACTAGAATGAAACTGGGTAATATACGAATTATAATGAGAATATATAAGCCAAGCAAGAAAAGGACAGATCATTATTGCATAGCAACAATATTGGTGTTGGTCTAGGTTAAAGTTTGTCACTTGCAACCAAAAGCACAGTCATGGAACTTGTATTTAGTTTATTTGTCTCTGTGCTTCCAATTGTTCTTTCTTCTGGGACCTTTCTCCAGACTATCAATGTATTTTTTACTCAAGGGTTGCTTTATTCTGGTCTGGTGAGGAAGATTTGTTAAAATAAAAGAGAGTTGAAACGACAATTTTTTAGCTATTATTTAGAGCAAGGAGCATGGGGTGTTCTTTCTTTCTTTTTCTTTTTTTCCCCTTTTTCTCTTCTTTTCGTCCTTAGCCTTTTCTCTTTTCCTTTTTGGCTGCAAAGTGTTAACCTTTCCCGGGAAGAAGACCTTTTCTAGTCTCCATGTGCCTCCATCAACTTCTGCCCCGTCCCTTCTAGTAGTCGATTATATCATATCATATCATATACATTTATGTATATATTCACATAAATCATAGTACAACGATGGCGATATAATTATATGGAACCTAACTGAAGATATAATGAGACGACGCTTGGATGATTTTTCTATTTTTCAGTTTGATATTTTCGTAAATTTTATTTTATTTCTGTATAGTATAGTAAATACTCAATTGGCAATTTGAAAAAATATGTGAGTGTACGTATATGAAAGACAAAACATTCAAAAGAAATTTCATACGAGATAATGATCACGTGCCACAGTATTTTTCGAATATGTCATGATTTTGGGGCATATAAGCATCAAATTTACCTGCTTTTTTATGTTATGAAAAGAAAAAAAAAAAACAAAAAGTGAAACCCGAAAAAGATTTTTGAGTGGTAAACATGTCACCCACATGAACACTGGAAAGAGTAAAGATAGCAAAGCTCTTATTTACAGCCAAAAAGCTTTCTTTGAATTGACATCAGCTTTGTGAAGAAGTATCTAAAGAGACAGAGGCATCACAGTCCTTTTACCATGTACGTGTCGCACCTGTTAAGTCTCTCAGTTTCATCGTCTCATTTGAAATAGAAGGTACATATTTATCTAAATATCGTTTTCAACACGCTCCTTTCGTAAAAATTATGCCTTCTTTACCTCTTTAACAAAAAATCACGTGTAAATCGAAAATATGTTTGTCTCAAGAATAATTTAAGCGGTTTATGTATATATTCACATAAATCATAGTACAACGATGGCGATATAATTATATGGAACCTAACTGAAGATATAATGAGACGACGCTTGGATGATTTTTCTATTTTTCAGTTTGATATTTTCGTAAATTTTATTTTATTTCTGTATAGTATAGTAAATACTCAATTGGCAATTTGAAAAAATATGTGAGTGTACGTATATGAAAGACAAAACATTCAAAAGAAATTTCATACGAGATAATGATCACGTGCCACAGTATTTTTCGAATATGTCATGATTTTGGGGCATATAAGCATCAAATTTACCTGCTTTTTTATGTTATGAAAAGAAAAAAAAAAAACAAAAAGTGAAACCCGAAAAAGATTTTTGAGTGGTAAACATGTCACCCACATGAACACTGGAAAGAGTAAAGATAGCAAAGCTCTTATTTACAGCCAAAAAGCTTTCTTTGAATTGACATCAGCTTTGTGAAGAAGTATCTAAAGAGACAGAGGCATCACAGTCCTTTTACCATGTACGTGTCGCACCTGTTAAGTCTCTCAGTTTCATCGTCTCATTTGAAATAGAAGGTACATATTTATCTAAATATCGTTTTCAACACGCTCCTTTCGTAAAAATTATGCCTTCTTTACTTCTTTAACGAAAAATCACGTGTAAATCGAAAATATGTTTGTCTCAAGAATAATTTAAGCGGTTAGACGTGACAAATTAACTAAGGGTAATGATAAATGTCTGAAGATGATGGGGTCCAGTAAATTGGGAATCTTGCGGGGGTTAAGAGAGGAGAGGAGAGGAGAGGAGAGGAGAGGATGATGGATTAGTGATAAGTGAAGAAACAGGGCATGTGAGTGGGGTGACATTACTTTTTAAGTCCAAAAAGAGAAGTTTCCCAAAGAGAGTCCAAAGTCAAAGCATCAAATCTTAAAGATTAAAAAGCCCCTTTCTATAAAGAACCAAAACGTGCAATTATGCGTTTTTAGATCTATTTCACGTAAATATTCACAAATTAGAATGACTGTGTAATTATCTTTTAAGGATGTCTCTATGTCTAATTTAGCCCTATCTATTCACCTTTTTCTTTTGATTTTTGAGGGAAAAAAACATTGCGTTATTCTAACATGCACATATAGGCAAGAAATATAAACAAGAAAAATGAAAAAATAAAATAAAATGAAGTCACAAATTTTTTTTAGTCTTAATTAAAATTAATCTCGCGAGTGATGGTTAGGATGGCTCATTGTTAAGCCCCCGTTTGGTAGCAATTTTTTATTTCAAAAAATCAAATTTTTGACTTCTTCAGCTCGACCTACTTTTCTCTTTAACAATCAAAAAATCATTTCTCATGTTATGCCTCAATGTTTCAACGATAGATTAATAATATTATTTCAAAAATATGTACCACTTGGTATTATGAGAAAACTCATGGTGTTAACCCACTTCAGTAAACTCACAAAATTTTCGAGCCAAAACATATTTTTTGTATTTTAACAAAATTTACCCTATTTTGTAGGCTTTTTTGTGTCATTGTTGAGTTTATTGTTACTTTTTTTCCTATAAAAATGGATGTCGACTTCAAAATCAGTGTTGTCTGGATAGATTTTAAGCTCAGCAAAAACTCCGGTTGATGTTTCAATTGTTAGAGTAAACCCACCTTTCGTTTTTTAAATATTTTTTTTTCAAGAAAATCACTTGTGGCTATGCATAATCGCATATTGCACTCGCTTTGACTTTTCTAACAAAAAAAAAAAAAAAAAAAAATTCTATTCACGTTGAAGAGTATCTGTTACTTTTCTATCGAATAAGATTTTGAATAATAAAGTTAAAAAGGAACTGGTTCATGTTTTACTGTGAACTGTTCACGAGTCCAAATTTCAATGGAAAAGAATTTGATTTGTGGTGAATATAAATTATAAATTAAAACAGCTTAAATTTTTGGACGTGTCGGTTGAATAGTAGTATACTCCAAACAGTCCCCAGGTAAAAATTAGAGAGGAATAATGAAAATCTTTAAATGATGACTAATTGGCCTTTTTCACTTTTGGTCAAGTCAAGAAATTAATAGCAACCCGAGTGATCCTTCGCAAATGGTCTCTGCAAAAATGGAAAAATGCTGTGGTTCTTCTGTGCACACTTCAAATACTGAATCTGATAAGAGTTTTATTGAATTTTGTTCGTCTCTGTGGCTGTTATAGATGTTGATAGAGACGACACTGCCATCAACCATTACAACTGTGGCACTGAAAACCATGGTGCTTTTCATTTACATTTACTTGGTTGCACTGCAGAGACAGCAGAAGTAAAGGGCTCTCTCTCTCTACTCTCTAGATTTCAAAATGTTGTGTAATAATTTTAGAGTAATATTAAGCATATTTTTTTGTTAAAAATATATTTTGAAATATTAATTTTTGGAGTATGTTTAATTGAAAAATAAGAAAAAATTTGATTTATGTTTAATATTATTTATTAAATAATGTGTAATTAAAAAAGAAAAAGAAAAATATATTTTGATAAAAATGGGAATCAAACAAGAATTTAGCCCAATTAAAATTATAATCTCAATTTACACCGCGTCCGTGCTAATGCGATATGTCACATTAGCGTTACGTAAATTGGAATTATCATATCACATTAGCGCCAAGTAAGTTAGGATTATAAACTAATCATAATTTTATGCCTGGGAAAGACTGGTCACCTCCATTTTCTTACCACCAAAGCCAGCAAAGATCTTCAGATAGTCATAGTCCAAACAGAAAATCTATGCACTATTTGAGACCACATAATGTATTCATTAAAATACAAAAACAATTGTTTTATTTTCCTTCTTACCGCACTCAAGAACATCCAAGAATTTAGTTGTTATATAAAAAATATATTTCATGTATTAAATTATTTATATGCGATTCATTGACGAGAACATTTTATAAAATTAGAATTTTGACACTAATGAACTTGTTTAAAAGTTTAAATTATTAAAGATGAATATTTATTTAAATTGTGTTTTCGACAGAAAAAATAAAGAAAACAAACGTAAATGAGATTTTAAATAATACCAAGTAACCTCATATTCTTTTACAGAAAAATGAGGGGGAAACCACATTCACATTATATTTTGCAATAATCAAGCTCTAAAAGTCTTGAATACAAAACAAAAACTAAATTATCTTGAATACAACAATCTTTAATAATTAGATGATCAGTTATCAGTTTGATCACCTCTCTTGATATCCCACTCTCTTAAACCAGATGATATGTAACTCCATCCAAGTGAATTTCCGTTGGGAGACAGTGTTTCTGTAACTGTACGTGAAGCTTGAAACTGCTGCTTACAAGCCTGGCAAGTAACTTGTAATGTAGTTGAATTGATTTGATTTATAGCATGTTGTTTCAAGGCCAGTGCTTTCTCTAATTCTGCCCGTGCTTGTTGTCTGATTCTTTTTGCATTGGCAAATTCTTGTTCTGCCAATTCAATCTGTCCCTTGGCCTGTTGCCTTGCATCTTCGGCATAAGCCTTCTCAGCCATGGCCAACCTTAGCTGGTCATCTGCCTGTTCTTTCATTCGTCTCGATTGTGGCGCCGCAACAGCCATGTTTTGCTTCTCACTGCTGCAAATATATGCATTATCCATTTCGGTTTTTTCACTGATTTCTGATGACCCGATAGAGAGTTGAAGTTGAGTTGACTGATTTTCATCCATTTTGGTTAAGAGCTGGAGCTCTAAATTTGGTGGCCTGGAATTCTTGAAATTTTTACTGGAATTACCTGCAGAGGGGTTCAAGAAACTGTTTTCCATTTTCCGATTTGGTAAAGATAGAGGCGCAGAAAATATTGGAGCGACATTGGTGTCACTGGAGGGACTGGGGCTTGATGCTGTTCGAGATAAACATGCAGCAGGCTGTAAATTATTGTGTGATTCTGATCTGAGACGCCCCATGCTGCAAGTATCTTGATGTTCAATGAAACTCTCCACCCTAAAATTTACCAGGATTTCAAAATGTTAGCTAGTACTTAATATTGATGACAAATAAGTGTAATGATTCTTGATGCAGTGAAAAAGTAAAGCAAATTAAAGATGTTGATTTAAACGAGAAGAAAAAGGAGATCATATCTTTAGCATCTTGACATGTAAACAAGAAAAACGACTCCATAATTAACTTCAAAGACGTGACCAGCAAACATAATAATTAATGACAATAAAGAAATCTCAGACGGGCTAGGAACAGTTCTGGATCTAATAAATAGTGATGTACGACTCCATATATTCAATAGAATGAAATTTAAATAAAAAAATATTGAAAAATATAACACAGAAACAACCTATGTAAGTTTATATTTTTTCATGCATGGAAATACTATTTGAGAATGGAGACATGGATAAGTATCTGTAACACTGTAAGAAACGAGGTGAGAAACAATTTTGATCAACACTTTAATCACATCAGTATGATGAGTAAACTATTTTTAGGATACAGTAAACACTGTTACTAAAGTAATAACAGTATTTAACTAATATATACGTGCAGACATTCTGGAAAATATAAAACAAAAATGACCTCCATGAGACTGGATTTTGGGAACTGTGGATAACTGTCAACAAATGGTTCCTATATTAAAGTATAACCAGAATCAATCAAAGCCTACTTTATTATGAAATTTCCCTTGAGCATTTCTTGAACTTGTTGATTATAATCTGATTTGACAAGTATTATTTATAATTACTTATTTAAATGGAAACTAAACCTCTGCACTGAATACAACAAAATATTGGTTCAATTAGAATTCTGTTGCGGACGAATTCTTAAGTTTTAGACCACCCAAAATTTGAATTCATTTAAGAATAACTTTAAACGTGGAAGTGTGGCAAGTGTGAGTGCGTGTTTGAAGAAAAAATTTGGTAAAATAAACAAGTTCTCATCTAAGTCTAGGCTGTTAAAGAAAGAGACGAGATGATTAACGAATTTCGAGAAGACAAACCTTGAAAAGACACGGCCACAGTCACAAGAATGTCCTCTAGTTCCACAAGTCTTGAGATGTGCCTTGTAATCAGATTGAACTGCATATCCCTTTGAACATTTATCACAAACCCACTGTTTATGATTACTATGTTTTCTTCTGAAATGTTTTTTGATTCCCACAAGATCACCTAAAGCATGGCAAGGATCATGATGCAAACAGCTAGGCTCGGGGCACACGAACACTCTCTTCTTTGCTATTGGTGTCTCCCTCTTTAGCAGTTTCCAAGGTACTTTGTGTCTTCTTCTATGCATCTGTAAATTTTGATCTCTTTGGAACCCTTGATTGCAGATCTCACATACATATCGATCTGATTCCAATAGGGTTTTTGGTGAAAGAGATACAACTTCTGCATCTGGATCTAGTTATATATACAATAAAACAGCTCCATTAATTAAATAAAACAGACCAAAAAAGGTAATTATAAGTCCAGTAAATTCAAGAAAATTATGATCACATACCTGGGGTTCCTGCTGGCCTTCTTTTTCTTTTACTACTGTTTTCATTTTCTGAAGAAGCAAATGGCTCCGAAGAATAAGAGGGATTATTGCTACTTAACATGTATAATTGCTTATAGATAAGTGATAATGTAATTCTATGAAACACAAGGCCAAAAACCCAGAATAAATTCTATCAAGTTCTGAAACTTGAACATGAAAAACAAATGGAAAATTTTGGGTAGAAGTTAGATGAGGGGACGACAGAATATACAGCTACAACCATGGGGCAAAGAAAAATAATAATAAAAAAGGCTTTTTCTTTCGGTTATATAATCAGCCTTCTTTCAGCTTTTAAGCTTTCAGCTTTTTTTTTAATAAGCTTTTTCTCTCTCTCTTTACCTTCATCCTCTTGAAGAGAGAGAGAGATGGGGGGGCGGGGGGGGATAGGCGTGGGTCAGGTTTCAAGTTGATCCCATCAGGAAGCAATTGGACCGAAGAGAAAAAAACCCCCACATACAAACAAAACATAGTAATTAATTATACAGTAAATTTGCATGCATAAATACAGGACAACTGCATATATAAACGTACACGTTAGATTCTAATTGTTGTCATTTTTCATACACTGTAAAGACACTAATTAGAGTATTTTTTTTGTAATTACACATTGGTACCTGTATAGCAACTGCTAAGGCAATCTAGGTCCCTACCTATGTACCAAGTTCGAGGAATTACATGTTTGTTCCGCTATAAGTCAAAATTAATAATTAATTCAACAGCTTATTTCATAGAATTTGCAATTTTAATCAACTTTTTAATCATATTTTTCATCAACTTTTATCAAAATCTACTAAAATGTTTATTTTTAACTATACCAAACAGGAGCATTGTTTTCTTAAGAGTTGATGTAATTGTTTATCCATACAATACAAATTTTTGTTTACCCTATTTTTCAATTTTATTTATTTGTTGCCTAAGTAGGGTTGGATATAATCCGGTTCGGTTCAATTCAAAAGAACAGGCTTAGGCAAAAAAAGCTGAAAATTCGATCAAACCGAACACACTCAAGTCAATTCGGGTTGGTTTGACACTAGTAGTTGGTTTTGTTTGATTTTCTTTTAAATAAAACTATGGTGAGTTGGTTCAGTTATAGTTTGAAGTCTCAAACCGCTAGTAATCGCTCCTTGGCCTACCATAGAGAATCGAATCGAACCTGAATTCTTGGATATTTTGTAATTAAGTGGAATCATTGTATCCAAATTTAATTGTCGAACCGTTCAGATTCAGGTTCGGGTTCTTTTGGTTTGGCTCTGTTCAATTCTATTTGGTTCCAAACTAACATATAATAATTAATTTTTTTTTTCAATTTTACATTAACGTTACATTGATTTAACTAATGACGTATTCAATTTTAGCTCTTACGCCTCTTTTTGTTGAATTCTTCATAGATTTGACTTTTAAAATCATAGGAAAAGAAAGATGGGAAGCTCACAATAATGAAGAAAATACGTAGTTGAGCTTCCAATTGAATTTCTCCAGAACAACAAAAATTTACTATGGTAGAATAAGATATTTAGGTAAAATTTAGGTCAATTTGATTAAATTGGGCTTGAGCTGAAAATTAGAAATATGAAAATCATATTTTGGATTTGGGTTAAATTAATTAGTTAACAAATTTATATAGAAAGAAATAAAATAATTTGGCTTATTTAAAATAAAAAAATTATGAATATTTGATTCTTATTCGATTTTTCTTCTAGAATCGAGAACCGAACCAAACTCATTGATTCTTGATTCAGATACCCGCTCGGGATATATTAATTTAAGAAGAACCGCTGGTTCAATTAGGAAGTTTTGTCCAGCTTCATGCCTAAGCATGAGTAAAATCGGTCTTGATTTAGCCAGTTATCGAATGTACAATGCTACAAATACAAAAAGTTTTCACAGATGTTTTGACAAATAACATATGGCGCAGTTTCATTGGAAGATTAAAAATAAATAAATAAATAAAGGAAAGAAAAAAAAGGCCATGCAACACCTGTGAAAGACCAGTCACATGGGGGATTATCCTTTATCAGATTATCAGGACAATATCAAATTTGCTAACTAATTCTATTGGAGATTTTTTTTTTTATCGATGTTCAATTTTTTCAATTGAATAAGTACGATATAATTCTTATAATATTGTTGTATAGTTAAATGAACACTTTGTTGAAATTCATGTTCGTCAGCTTTCAATTCTAGACTAGACTCGAGTTTTTCTCTATATAATTTTGCAAGAAATAGTCAATAATTGCAATAGCAGAGTGTTCGATATAATGCATTCGTTAACATATATATTTTCAATGCAAATTTTGAGACGTGTAATTGACACTTCACGATTTAACCTCCCTTTGATTTTCATTATTTGATCACAAAAATAAAAAATATGATCGTTATCCATCACATCGAGTCACCATATTTGACTTTCTGTTTTTTGTGTGGGCCCTGTAACGATTATATTTTTCATTCTTATTTTTACAAAAATAGGTACCACACGGGGCCTTAATGAATAAGTTTTCCTCAATTGGGACATCAACAAAAACAGGATTGTTGTTTTTTGCAAGTGGCGTTTGATTATTGGTTGATTTAAAATTGAGCCCCCCAAATTATATTCGTCGCTCACAAAAAATATCGAGAGTAAATTATTAACTCATCTTTTTCCTATTATTCTTTGTCATCATCTTTTACTTTTTTATTTTTATTAAAAATAATAATATAATTATAAGCCGTATTTTGCCCAGCTTGAAAAGTTAAGTAAAATTTAAGTCAAAATAAATAATTAATTTGAATTATAAATTTTATAAAATCCATAACTTTTCAATTACATATTCTATCAATATATACTAAAAATCTAATTTTTATCTAAATCAAACTGTGGCTTTAATTTCATTAGCCTTGTTTGAGCCACATTATTTGGAAAAAAAAAATATTTTTCAACAGTGATTTGATATCATTTTAACCACACATTCTTTAATAAAATAATATTACACGCAAATTCAAAATATTTCTTTTTTTCACCACATATTTCTCATCAATATACTATTCAAAAATACATTTTCATTCCAATAATGTGGCTCAAACAAGGGCATATATATTCTAATTGGATAATTATCACAAAATGTTCTTACTTTTCAATGTTATTGTGTAAAACATCCATACATTTTATTTTTTGACATTTCCACTCTTATATTTACCTTTTATTGCTAAAATCATCATTTTCATCAAGTGTTTCCTATAAAATAACAAATATATCCCCTATTTAAATAAAACAATTAAAAAGAAAAGAAAAGTTAGAAAATAAATTGTAATCATACTCCCAAACCTTTTTAAAAAGTGCAAATGAGTTTAAATAAATTATTAAAAATGTAATTAACACAAAACGTCTATATCGAGTACCGATCATTATTATTGTGCAAAAAATCCATATCTTTGAAAGTGATTTTTTCAAATTTCAAAAAAGTACAAATAAATTTCAAATAAATAATTTAAAAAGGTGATTTTTTAAAATTATTTATTTGAAATTTTGGGAATATAGTTACAATTTGTTCTTTACTTTTCTTTACTTTTTTTTGTTTATTTAAATAGTAGTGTATATTTGTCATTTTAGAGTTTTTATTTAAGAAAATAGATGAAAATAATGATTTTTACAATGAAATATGAAATAAGAGTGAAAATATTAAAAAAAATGAAAGGTATAAACGTTTTGCACAATAATAATGAAAGTTATGAACGTTTTGTGTTAATTACCCTTTTAATAATTTATTTGCACTTTTTTTAAAAATTTGGAAATATGATTGCAATTTATTCTTTAATTGTTCTTTTCTTTTTTATTGTTTTATTTAAATAAGGGTATATTTGTTAATTTACACGAAGAATTTGATGGAACGGATGATTTCTGCAATAAAAGGTAAAAGTGATGGTGAAAAATGAAAATGCAAAAAAATGAAAAATATGAACGTTTTTCACAATAATATTGAAAGGTAAGGACGTTTCGTGCAAATTACTCTATCCTAATTTTTACCGAATGTGGCGAGAAAAGAGGAGGGGGAAGAGCTAGAATGATAAGACCGCAAATTTAACGTGCTTCAACAAATGGCCCATTGGCCATTGGGATTTCTTGTATGGCGAGTAAAATATTTTCTGATCATAAGCTTCATTTTAAATCTTGAGGACCAACAAATTAAAGAATCTTAGAGGAATAAAAGTTCAGTCCGACGCCCAAAATGTGGCCTCCTGTCCGGTGGCTGCCGGTCCAAAACGGGGGTGGGGTCCTTAATTCCTCCTCCATACCATGATATAACCACCTCACTATACGTACATATCATACATACATATAAGTGTGTGCGTAGAGAGAGAGAGATAATCGTCTGGTGATTATATATGAGTGGATATGGGTGGGATGGATGATTGCTAGAGACATTCGCTTCTGACGCTGCATGTGTGTGAGAATCAAACTCCCATCATGTCACCATTCTTTCTACATAATTAATTATTTTTTAAATAGCTTTTGCTTATTTTTATTTTCTTGTCATTATTTGTTCCTCTCTCTCACACACACATACTAAGGCTTCGTTTGTGCCCCATTAATTTGAAAAAAAAAAATGTATTATAGAATAGTGATTGATCGAAAATATGTGATTAAAAAGAAAAAAAAATATTATTTGCATGTAATATTATTTTAATGAAGAATGTGTAGTTAAAAATAAGTACTGTAGAAAAATAAATGAAAAAAAATGGATGACAAATATGGGCTAAGTTACACTTCTAAGGCATCTCCAACCCTTATACCATTCCACCATTTTACTCCAAAATTCACAAGTTTTCACCAAATATATCGCTCCAACCAACATCAAATATTGCACTATTATTTGGTGCAACACTATTCACTTGCACCATTTTGCACCAAATGTGATAAAAGTCCATTTTGCCCTTTATTCATGTATGACCAAGTGATATGAAAAGTATTTGCGTCATTTTACATTATAGATACATTTTTATTTTTTACATTATACATAAATCTTAATTCATAATTAAATAATTTTTGAAAACAACGTAGTACATTTTGAATCTCGAAATTATGGTATGGCCAAGTCTCCCTAGTGTCTTAATTTAGTTATTCGAATTCATATATTCGTGTTTGTTGATTTTAATACTTTTTAAGTACTTTTATTTTAACTCGTTCATCTATTATTATTGATTACGCAATTAAAGTTTAGTACTAATAATAATAATAATAATAATAATAATAATAATAATAATAATAATAATAATAAAAGTACTTAAAAAGTATTAAAATGCAACAAACATGAGTATATGAATTCGAATAATTAAATTAAGACACTAGGGTGACTTCGCCATACCATAATTTCAAGATTCGAAATGTACTACGCTGTTTTCAATAAGGGAGTGTTTGATAGCTTGGAAATGGAAAAAAAAGATGGAATTGGAATTGGAAATTCCAACTTTGGGTGTTTGATACCTTATATTTTCCATGGAATTGCATTTTTTGGATTTCTTGGAACTTGGAATTTTCCTTGTTTTAGTGGAATTTGAATTCTCACCAAATTCTCACCCTACTGTAGCGATTATTATTATTATTTTTCGTCTTTTTTTTTTGTTGGTAATGGAAACCAATTCTAAGAATTATTGTAAAAAAATATTTTCCTTTAATTGACAATTTTCATGTAAAACAAAGTCAAACGAACATTAAAAAATACTTTTATTTCAACATTTTCCATGTGGAAAATTATATCAATCAAACACAATAATTTACAATTCCCAAGAAAACAACTCTAGGCAATTCAATTCCATCTTTGCAATCAAACGGACCCTAACATAATTTCATATTTTCTTAATTGTGGTATTTTTATTAATTATACTACATTTCTAAATTAAATAATTTAACATTTTCGTAAACCGAAACATAATTATGTATTTATGTATATAGTAATTTATGTAGTAGTAAATTGAATAAATAAATAATTTTTCAGCTATGTAATAAAAATAAAAGAAAAGAAGAAAATGATTAAACACCGTTCATTTGGTGCAACTTTTAGTGTAATAGGTTGGAGATGATTTTTAGTTTCATGTAAGATTTGGTGCCAAATTGTGCAAATTTTGGTGAGGGTTGGAAATGGTCTAAGTATACACATAACTACTCCTGCGTATTAAATTAGCCATCTAAAGCGACACGTGGAAGCTCTACTAACGTCATCGGAAGAGTCAGCCTAAATATATGAAAAGACGAAGCAACAAAGTTACAAAGACTACAAAAGCTGAAGTCCTTGTTATGGCTGAGGTGCGCTCAACCAGAATTCCATGTGTTTAAATATTGGAATTCAAAAATCAGGGGTTCATGTATCAAAACATGAAAATCCTAATTCATTTGCCCAAGTCTCTCTCCCCACCATCTCTTTCCCCGTCTGTTTCTCTCTTCCCTACCACACGAAATCTGGCGACACAGCACGCGCCCACCCGCTATCATTATCCTTCCTGTGCTACGCTCATCACCACCTTTGTCTTCAGATCTGGGCGGCGATATCTCTGCAGATCTCCTCACTTTCTTCCTTTTTTTAAATTTTTGAGTGGGGGTGATTGACCATTCAATAGTGGATGTGTGTGATGTGGTGTGGTGATGATATGCTATGATGTCGCAGTGGAGGTGGAGGTGTGCAGTCGGTAAGTATGATAGTGGTTCGCTGTTGATAGTGTGAGTGGTGCTGATCGATTTTTGTGATGTGATAGGAGTGGCTTTGGCGGTGGTGTTGCAATGGTGGTAGTGGTGATGGAGTGGTGGTGGTGGGGATAGTTATGATGCTGGTGGTGGTTTGTCGGCAATGCTATTGTGAACAATGATGGTTGTGGCGGTGTCGTGCAGGGTGATAGTTTTTGTTGGTGGAAATTGTGGTTGTGATGGTGGTGGAGATGGTGAAGTGGCAACGACATTGTGGCGATGGCTTTCATAGGATGTTTGCAATTTTGTTTGTGGTGAGGTGTTGCTAGTTGCGGTGTTTGAGATGACGGGAATGCTAGTTGTGGTGGTTTTGACGACGGGGATGAGACTGGCGGTAGTAGCGAGGTGGTGGTCACAGATGATTTGATTGTTTGTGACCAAGAAATTGACGTATGTGACGAACCATTTAGTTATCCGTGACCAACTATTTAGCGTAACCTAAAAAATTAATAATATGTGACCTATAAATTTTTGATTTGTGGCTTCATAATAAATTGTGATCTATAAATTTTTTGATTTGTCACCTTGAAATAATCTGTGACCAATTAATTTGATGATATGTGACCAATAAATAAATATGTAACTTATAATCGTGAATATATGATTATTAATCGTATAACTGTGATTTTATTATATTTAATTAATAAATATTTTCAATTAATTATGTAGATACCTGAATTTTGAATTTTTAAACTACGTATCTAATTTGTGAATTGGTATAAACAGCATACCTGAATTATGATTTTTTTCCCTTTGAAATATTGTCAAAGAGAGGGATAGGGGTTTGGTAAAATAGAATGTATGAATTTTTTCTTATAAATTTTTATAGTCATAGTAGATTATTATAACGACGGACGAGAACATAATCTCGCATCGAGGCAAACCTATATAAATTTTATGTACTCTCATGTGTCTATTTTTTCCTGCGATTTTATTACGATGATACATAATTAGGATTTTAATTCTCAACAGTATACATGACGAATATCATATAGCCCAATACAGCCCACATGTTTCAAATGTGTAAAAGGGACTGTGAAGTATGGCCCACGAAGCTATTGGGCTAGGGTGGATATGGAGCCCACCAGGGCCACCACCAAGTCCTGTTCATTTTGACTTTTGACCATAAAAGGACAAAATTTCGAAAATTGGGGTTGTTATTTCCAAAGCCGATCCCTAAAGTATATGAAATTTCCTGATTTCGGTTTGTTTTGTATTAATCTTCATATTTTCGTACCTAAAGTTGTGACTTTATTCTTCATTAATTCATAAGTCAAAGATATGAATAGAATCAAGGGAAAATTGCAGCTGAGGTACCAAATATTTCGTTTATTAGCAGACTTTGCCCAAACCTTTAGTTTGTGCTACCCACGATACCAAACCTTTCAAAAACTCGCAGTGGAAGTCCAAATGGATGGAAACTATTAATTTGACCATTAGTTGACCAAAGATTTAACGTTGACCAATTTTGACTAATTTTAAAAGAATAAAATGGTAACTTTACATTTTTCAACAAAAAAAATAAAATAATTACAATATATTAATAATTAAATCAAAACACAAAAATACTATTCATCTTTTTCTCCACCCCCCTCCGCCACACACAATCACCCACTCACTCCACAAAACCAAATCCCACCAAAACACACACTGTGAGAGCTTGATTGTGCACAAGAATGATGGTTGAGTGCGAAAGCAAAACCCAAAAATTCTTACACAATTTCTGCTGGACAACAGTGAACGGGACGACACAAACGATAAATCAAATGTGTGAAAGAACCAAAACTAGAAAATCACAAGCTGCAGATAAAACGCATGGTCTTTGATGTGAAAGGGCACGTTGACGATTTGAAAGACCCCAATTGATGTAGGTCACGGTTCTTGAAATTGCGAATGAAGGCGGCAAAATGCTGATTACTGGTGCGCATTAGTGGAAGTTATGTATGTCATCGTTGAATCTTCATTCTACTAATATCAATATACAATTTTTTAGGGTGATTGAAGTGGGGCAGGAGGAATTGGCGGAGGAGGAGCTAAAGAATTGGATGGGCGAGACGGAGAATCCGGAGATGGTGATGCAGAAGCCATCTACCCAAGTCCTAACAATTCCCTAATCAAGAAATTCTGTATTTCAGCTACAAATCATTCTATAGCAAAATTTCACCCACTAAAATTCCTAAAGTTTCCAATCTTTACAAATCAATGAATTAATGAACTACATCCATTCACAGAAATTAATAAAAAAAAAAAAAATTCCTATCCAAAGAACCAATCATCAACAGACCAAGTCCTTTATAAAACCCCAAATTCTGCACACATCAAGAAACAGCAAAGAGACTTCCAACTTTCAGTTTAACCAAATGGAAGCCAAGTTAACAAGAACCTAACCAAATTCAATATTTTTTATTCATAAAAGTGATGAGAAAATCCCGGATTGAGCACACTCAAAAATCGTATATTGATATTAGCAGAATGAAGGAGGAAGATGCTGGCAAGAGAGCCAACGATGCGACGGTTGGATTTAGGGATTTCTTGGAGGGGGTTGGAGATGCCGAAAGAATATACGTGACTCAATGACGACGAGAAGTAATGAGGCTACAGAGATTGATTAGAATGTAGTGAAAGTGTAATGGGCTTGGATGGTGGAGGGGAGGGGGGGGAGTGGAGAAGAAGATGAATAGTGTTTTGTGTTTTGATTTAATTATTAATATATTGTAATTTTTTTTGTTGAAAAATGTAAAGTTACCATTTTATTCTTTTAATATTAGTCAACCTATTGGTCAATGTTAAATTTTTCGTCAACTAACGGTCAAATTAACAGTTTTCATCCATTTGAACTTCCACTGCGAATTTTTGAAAGATTTGGTATCGTGGGTGGCACAAACTAAATGTTTGGACAAAATCTACTAATAAACGAAATGTTTGGTACCTCGACTGCAATTTTCCCTAGAATCAATCACGACTTGTTGCGATAACTTGATTAACCTTCAATGCAAATGTCGTAAGGTATTCAAAAGTTTCAATTTAAGGACCATATTTAGACAACCGATTTATTAAAGTTCGTGTGTTTCGTAGGCGAGAAAACGATCAATGCCATCTATTATCTTAAAATATCACATTTCTTACAATATCTATGTTCGGTACAATTAAAAAAGTTAATTAAAATCAAAATCAAGATCAATAATTTTAACCACACATTTGATGGAATCTATAACTTTTCAACCACACATTCATTCAAATATTATCAAAGTCTACTAAAATTTTGATTTTTATCTAATCCAAACAAGCATTATCACAACTTCTTCCCCTCCGAAAATATTTAGGCAGATTTAGGTCCTTGGTGCCTTGAATTGAATAAAAGTGTACTCTGGGTATGAAAAAATAGGTGACTTCATTATTGTTTTATAATCAATTGAAAGTTTTAAGTACATTATTTCCTCCAAGCGACTAAAATTAACACCAGTGAATCGATAACTGGCACTTTTGTGATACAAGACTCAATAATGTTAATAAAAAATAAAAGAGACCCAAAAAAAAAAAAAAAAAGTGAGGAAGAAGAAATGCCCAATATCTTCATTCCAAAAGGTTAATTCTTATCTGAAGAAGCGTCTATTGGTCATAGAGAGACGGATAGACGAAAGGATGCACAGCACAGCCATGCAAACAAATCCACCTAATAGAAGACCACTTGAAATGTTGCCTTTGTCGAGAAATTTGTTTGTTTTCAATGTCTCCTCGTCTTCTACAGCCCCACTTTGTTTTATTGCTCTCTTTATCTCACAACTTACACCGAAACCAACACCAACTCCGGTTGCCAAAAGGAATGCAATAATCTGTAAATTTTTTATCAAACCCTTTCATTAGATCAATTAATGGGGAAAAATTACCAAGTTCTTAAGAGTCGTTTAAGGACCTTGTCTCCGTAGAAATCAAATTCTTGTAAAAACCCATTACGGATAAGCCTCTTCTCATTCACCACGTTGTATATGGCAAAAGGAATTTGAATCAAAGTGTAGGCGACTCCTGCAAGTGCAGTTGCAAGTACATACCTGCAAGTGCACAAAAAGGCAGCACTAATTAAATAACACTTAAAACGAAAAAGAAGATAAAAAAATTATGAGTATCTTGTCACCTTTTCTGTGTATAACGTTACCTGTAAGCAATGAGATCTGAGAACTTAGTTTTGGTACCATCACTATTCGTGAAATTGTTAATCACCATAAGTGCAACAGAAGTAGCTAATAGTAGAAGGGCAAAAATCCTGAGAACGAGGACTGAGTTTCTCACAGACTGGGAAGCCATTTTCGTCTGGAATTCTCTCTTTTTTACCTTTAATTATTCACACTCTAATAGTCATATGTAAACACGCTTATATATACTAACATTTGACGTGAAAACTTTGTCAGTTTCGACACGTCAAGGACTTTGTTTTGGCCTGCAGAACACGGTATTGTTCCAACTTGAATATTCTGAGAAAATCTTGATCATATTGTAATAAATTATTAACAATACGCTTGTTGAAGAAAACGAAAGCGGGAGTTCTTATGCTAACGAGACAAGTTGTAAATTTTAATCGATATTATTCATAGCTAGGAAAACGCGTATGCCTTCAGATTCCTCCTCTCGTGCAAATACATATATGCTTACAAGTTAAAACAAATTTATTCGAATAAATTTGGCTTCGACTAAACAAAAACTCCGTCAAATCCACCCCTGTAGTCAGATAAAGATCCAAGATGTTCATATGAGAAAATGGTCAACATCATGTACTCGTGAATATTGTGGGTTAACTAAACATTGGCTTGTGAGTTTGGTTGATGGAAAATGTTATGTGTTGACACACCTGGCCGAACTACTGGGGTCCATGGCCTACTTCTATCGAACCACGTGACATTTTATCCGAGGCCCCCAGGTCAATAGGAGTAGACCAGCATACTATAACCACGGCCATGACGTGGCCCAAATGTTGACGCGAAGTGAATATGTAATGTGGTCTTCTAGCCGAGGCCCATCACTCCGAGGCCCCATCTTATCCGAGGCTCTAAGGCTCTAAGCAGCACTCCTCCCCAGAGAACCGGTCTTACACAAGGATCATTCCTAATGGATTGATGGGACACTCATTATAGAGTGCAAGTGTCTTGTCTTGTCAATGTAGTGGCGGAGTCACCGACTAATAAATGTGTAGCAGGCTAGGAAGTCAAATGTGATACCTATAATTTGACATGTAGACTTACGAGATGAGGTCACGTGTACTCCCAACCAAGGGTCACGATCTAAGTTGTAATACTATAAATACTACCCATGTATCTCTCACAAGGGTAATGCAAGATTCAACACTAGAACAAATACAATATTCTTTACATTTTACTCTCTTGCAACATATATGAATTCATACTCGCATTCTACAAATATCAATTGGTAATTATTGTACAATCGTTATGCAAACATCTCGTCGAATTCCGAACGTTCTCGTCCCGCATCTTTAAGTCGCTCCCACGCCCCATTTTGCTATTATTTCTAGACTGTCCATGTGTCTTAACGTGTTAGACCAGGCTTACGTGTGCACGGGTGGATCCGGTATCTATTGGCAATGTATTCTGGGGTCAACAGATTGACGTCGTCTGTGGAAAACCATACTATAACCACGAGCAACCATATGGAGAAAGCTTATCAAAAAGAATATTTAGGCATTCCCCTTGAAAAATGATTTGTTCTTAGAAAAGAACAAGTGGAAGCCCCATAACTTAGCAATTATTTGGAGTTGGAACAAAAGAGAATGAGTTCAGAGGAGGATGTACCCCCTAGAAGGGTAAAAGAAAATGTGGGAATGCCCCCACCGGCTGCTGCCCCTGCAGCCCGACATTGACCTCACCACCACCACAGAAGATGTGGCATGCGGATGGCTGCCCAACTCTCGAGAGAAATGGCCACCATGACCGCGAACATTAGGGGCATTGCTAGCCAAAACATGGCCATGAGAGAACTCATGGTCCAAATGTTGCCAGGGAGGCTTCTCCATTCCTCCCTATGCACTCCAAGAACATTACGACCAAGATGAGGAAGTTCAAAGCCAAAGGGTTGTACCGCCAGAATACAACCGAGGCAGGAGCCCTATGGAGAGGAAAGTAGAAGTTGATGTTTCCTCCAATTATGCTGCTGGCTGACCCACCGAGGCCTAGCATAACTAGGACAAATTTCCACTAGTGTATGAGCCAGAACAAAGGCCTAGGAGGTCTAACAACGTCTTTGACAGAATTAGCCCCGCAGAACTGAGGCACAGACAACAGCAACAACAGCAACGCGAGCCTCGGAATAGACCACAATCCCCACCTCCAATGTCTCATCAGCCGGAGGAAAGGCATGAGAATGCCCCCTGTGATGTTTCGCCTAGAAATAGGCGCCAAAGGAGGGAAGAGGAGGCTAAGACCCAAGCTGGACCCTCTCATCAACTACCCAGGTATGAAGCCGAGGAAAATGACAACTCAGATAAGCAGCAGAGGTCCTGTGACTTGGACGACGACGATGAAAATTTGTCATTCTCAAGGGAACTAAGAAGTGCCCAGGTTCCTAGCTACTATGTGATGCCCAAAATACCAAAGTATGACGGGAGAGACGACCCGGAGAAACACCTAATGCTTATAAAACTCATATGAGCCTTAGAGGCGCCACCCCAGCTGTGAAGTGTAGAGCTTTTCATTTGACACTTAGTGGAGCGCCTAAAATTTGGTATAGTCGACTTCTACCTGGGAACATAAGGAGTCGGCCAGAATTCAAGACATGAAGCAAGCGCATGGGAAATCCCTAAAAAGCTTTTTATCATGCTTTACTAACGAAATGACGTACTGCGTGCAAGTCACCGATCGTGAGGCTTTATCAGCCCTAAGAGGATGTCTGAATATGAATACCCTGTTTTGAAGGGACGTGCAAAACTAAGATCCTACCACCTATGACGCCCTGTTGGAAATGATGATATGGAAGATTATCAATGAGGAATTAATTGAACACCGGAATCGGGCCAGCAGAGGCCTCCCACCTTAACAGAGACAACGCGCCAGGGGACCGACCTCCCACTTGATGGACTACCAGATGAACCCACCTGGTAATAGAAATTCAGGGCAAGCACTTGTCACAACCACTTTGAACGCAGTTCCAACTTTGGTATATAAAGATGTCAATCTAACTATTACCGACCCGCAAGCAGGAACTTCACAACAAGCTCCCTGTAGAGGAAGAGATCGGGGCGCAGTTCAGGACCTAGGAATAGGCCTAATCAGAACCCCCCCAATTATTGTACGTACCACTGCTCTTAAGGTCATGACACGTCCGAGTGTCGGGAGTACACATACCACAACCAACGGGAACACCCCCAAGACAGGAGAAATGAGTCGCCACAGGTGCACAGGCCCCCACCTAAGAAGGACCAGCGACCTAGGCGTGAGGAGGCCGTTCCCCGCCAGTGAGATGTATCCCCCCGTCGAAGAGAACACGGTGCGGATAGACCCAGGAAAGGACACAGGTATCATGGGAATCGTCATGCACGAGAAGAGGCCCCTATTCACGAGATAGATACCATATTTGGAGGCCCCTATGTAAAAGAAAAAATTCGCAACGCAAAACGGAACTATGCCCAAGAGGCTAAATGCCTCCCACTAACCAGTTATATCGTAGATAGCAGCTCCCGAAGAAACCAAGTACCGCCCATCGTCTTCACCCAAAAGGACTCTAAAGGGGTTCACTACCCCCATTGTGATGCACTTGTGGTAAGGGCCGTTATGGCTCGAAATAGACTCAAGCGAATGCTAGTAGATAATGAAAGCTCCGTTAACATCTTGTTCAGGTCCACCTTTGATAAGATAATCCTGGACCACGAGCTGACGCCCACCACCACTTTTCTATACAGATTTACCAGAGATAGTATCACTCCGAGAGAAAAAATAACGTTGACGGTAGAGATGGGAGAGTCCCCCCAAATCGCCATGAACTTCATGAAATTCCTTATTGTAGATAGTCGGTCAGCTTACCACGGAGTCTTAGGTAGACCAGCCTTGCAGGAGTTAGGAGCCGTCAACTCCATCCACCACTTATGAATGAAACTCCCAACTGAGAACAGGGTAATAACAGTGAGAGGTGAACAAAGAGGATCCAGAGAATGCTACCTGAGCTCTATTAGAAAGGTTGAGCCCCGGGACGTACATGCCATCCTGATTGATGTGGATATGGCAGACGTCCCAAGCGAGGCTCCTCCTGAACGAGAGGATGTTGACATGATCGACGCACCTCCCGAGCACGAAGAACTCTCCATGATCGATGAGATCGATCTCCATTTAACTGAACATGAAACCCGAACAACTCCGGTTGAGGAACTAGAAATCTTCCCGATCGACCCTGCTACCTCGCGAAGGCGTTGAAAGTAGGCATATGCCTGGGCGACGACATGAAAGAAAAATTGAAAGACTTTCTCTGCAAGAACCTTGACGTCTTTACTTGAAGGCATGAGGACATGGTGGGCATAGACCCCAAGGACAGCTGTCACCACCTAAAGATAGATCCTCAAATTGCCCCGCATCGACAGAAAAGAAGAGCCTCAACCCGAAAAGGTATGAGGCTCTGAAGGAAGAAGTGCAGAAGCTCATCAAGAACGTCTTCATTAGGGAGGCCATCTACTCGAAGTGGGTCTCCAACCCGATACTCGTTAAGAAGCACAACGGTAAGTGGATGGTATGTATCGACTTTACGAATCTCAATAAGGTATGTCCTAAAAATAGCTTCTCACATCCGAGAATTGATCAATTGGTAGACTCCACCGTCGAGCATGAGCTCCTGAGTTTCATGGATGCCTACTCGGGCTATAACCAAATATCCATGTACCTGATCGATGAGGAGAACACCTCATTTACCACTAACAGAGGCCTTTATTGCTACAAGATGATGCCCTTTGGGTTGAAAAACACCGAGGCCACCTATCAAAAGCTTATCAACAAAATGTTCGTGGACGTCATTAGCAAAAAGATGGAAGTCTACGTTGACGATATGCTTGTGAAAAGCCTGAAGGTAGACGACCATGTGAAGCACTTGGATGACACTTTTCGAACCCTCAGAAGGTACAGGATGAAGCTCAACCCTCTCAAGTGCGCTTTTGGCATTGCCTCTGGTAAATTCATGGGGTACATGGTCAATCAAAGAGAAATCGAAGCCAACCCTGAAAAGATCAATGCCTTACTCGAGATGAGATCACCCCAAAAACCCAAGGAAGTCCAAAGTCTAATGGGACGAGTGGTAGTCCTTAGCCGCTTTGTCTCAAGGCCACCGATAAATCTCTCCCGTTCTTTAAGGTATTGAAAGTTGGGAAGAAGTTAAAATGGAATGAGGAATATGAAGAGGCCTTCCAAGGCCAGGAAAGGCATCTAGGGCAGGCCCCCCTCCTCTCCAAGCCAAAGCCTGGCGATATCTTTCAAGTATACTTGGTCGTCTCTAATGAGGCCATCAGTGTGGTCCTAACCCGAGAGGAAGGAACAACCCAACTTCCTGTGTATTACACCAGCAAGGCACTCCTATCTCCGAAAACTCATTATTTCGATATGGAGAAGCTAGCCTTAGCCTTGATCACAGCTTCTAGGAAGCTGAAGCCCTACTTTCAAGCACACACCATTTACCTACTGACCAACTTCCCTTTGAGGCAAGTGTTACAGAAGCCAGATGCCTCGAGAAGACTACTGAAATGGGCAGTAGAGTTAAGTGAATTTGACATTGTCTTCGAGATAAGGGCGTCATCAAGGGCCAAGCCTTAGCTAATTTTGTAGCAGAGTTCACCAATGTACCCAAGATGGAAGAGGTTATGGAACCTATTGAGCCCTCCACGTAGAACTTGTTCGTGGATGGTTCGACTGGAGACACGGATTCGGGAGTTGGGGTAGTCCTTGTCAGCCCAGAAGGTCACAAGTTGAACTCAACCGTGAGATTTGGATTTAAGGCCACCAACAACGCTGCTAAGTATGAGGCACTCCTTGTGGGCCTCAGATTAGCCAGAGAAATGCAAGTTAGGAGGCTACGTATCAACAGTAACTCCCAGCTGGTGGTAAGCCAAGTGAATGGCAATTTTTCAGCCAGGGATAAAACCATAGCCTCCTACTTGAAAATGGTGATGAACCTTCTCCCATCTTTTGAAAAATTCGAAATAATACAGATCCCTCGCCTCGAGAACACACATGCAGATGCACTCTCTAAACTCGTGAGTAGCAAGGACTCCGAATTGCTTGCGATAGTACCAATTGAGCACCTCCTCACACCGTCTACCGAGGCCCCTGAAGTGATGTGGGTCGAAGGAACCCCCACCTGGATGCAGCGGATCATAGCTTACATAAAGGACTAGGTCCTACCTATTAACAAAGATGAGGCCTACAAATTGAGAAGGAGATTAGCTCATTTCCTCTTCATCGATGATGTACTCTACAAAAGAAGCTTCTCCTCTCCACTTCTTCGCTGCGTGGGGGGAGACGAGGCCACATACATCCTAAGGAAAATCCACGAAGGTGTTTGTGGCAATCACTCGGGAGGGTTAGCTTTGGCACAAAAGGTACTGAGACAAGGGTATTACTAGCCCACCCTGAAAAGGGATGCGCTTCAATTCGTGCGCAAATGTGACAAGTGCCAATGTTTCTCTCCCATTTAGAGGCAACCCTCACAGGAGCTAACTGCTGTCTCTAGCCCATAGCCCTTATCCAAGTGGGGCATGGACCTGATAGGTCCCTTACCTAAAGGCAAAGGAGGCACGAATTTCGCCATTGTGGCCATTAATTACTTCACGAAGTAGGTTAAGGCCGAACCACTAGCAAAAATCACAGAAGCAAACACTTCTAAGTTTTTTTGGAAGAATATCAAATGTCGGTTCGGAATTCCTCACTCGATAGTTTCAGACAATGGAAAGCAGTTCAACAATAAAAATGTCAGGAACCTATGTGAAGAACTTGGAATCAAGAAACATGTCATCATCCTCAAGCCAATGGCCAAGTTAAAGTTGTAAACAAGACAATCAACACGTCTACAAAAGAAAATTAGATGCATCAAAGGGAGCCTGGGTTGATGAGCTGCCTCAAGTGCTTTGGGCGATCCGAACTACCACCAAAACTCTCATGGGGGAAACTCCTTTTCTCATAGCCTATGGAACTGAAGCCATGAGCCCAGTCGAGGTCGGCTTAGCATCACCTTGTCATCTACACTTCAGCGAAATATCTAATGACGAGCTACGGAGGTTCAACCTTGACTTCATTGATGAAAGAAGAGATGACTCCCCGCTGAGGTGAAGAAAATGTCCTTTCGAATCAATGACCTGGTCCTTAGGAGAGTATTCCTCTCCTTCAAAGGACCTGGAGAAGGTACCATGGATCCAAACTGGAAAGGACCTTACAAAGTTAAAGAAGAACTCTAACTCGTCACCTACAGAATTGAAGACATGGATGGCAAGGCAGAGCCTCGTCCATGGAACATTGAGCATCTCAGAATTTACTACCAATGAATGTACTGCATCGCTGGAGGATCTTTCTTAGTTTATGTAACTGAATTTCAGTTTCAATAAAATGTCATTAAATTCATAAATGACTCTCAAGTGTGAAAGCCTCAGAAGAGAGGTCTTAATCCCCAACTTTGGGGTCACCTCGCCTGAACTCTGAGGCTCACTCCACATGCCTTTCTTTGGTAAGGCTGAACCCCAAAGAGAGAAGCCTCTACATGGCTGCACCATCTACCATGTAGGGAATCATGGGAGTCTCGGAGGAGAGGTCATGATCCCTAACTCTGGGGTCACCTCGCCTGAACTCCAAGGCTCACTCCACATGCCTTCCTTTGGCGATGCTGAATGCTAAAGGGAGAAGCCTTTACATGATTGCACCATCCATCATGTAGGGAAGCGTGGAAGCCTCGAAAGAAAGGTCCTTATCCCCAACTCTGGGGTCACCTCTCCTGAACTCTGAAGCTCACTCCACATGCCTTCCTCTGACGAGGCTGAACACCAAAGGGAGAAGTCTCTACATGGCTGAACCATCCACCATGTAGGGAAGCGTTGGAGCCTTGGAGGAGAGGTCCTGATCCCCAACTTCGGGGTCACCTCGCCAGAACTCCGGGGCTCACTTCACATGCCTCGATATGTACATCTCATCCACCATCACTTCACCTCCCTAATTCGAACTCAACGGAAAGTTCCAATCAAATAACATATTTAGTTTACATTAAATACTTCATTCAACTTAGACATCGTGGTTTATTTCAAGTAATGGAACCTGAATGCAACCCATTAGGTCATCATTTATATAGCTTGATTATTAGCTCATCCTTAAGCTTGATTATGTCAAGTGATGGAAGTTATGTCAAGTCCAGATTGTTAACTCAAACTTATACATGTTTATTTACCGAGGTCCATGCACTTGATATTGAAAAGAAAACAACATGTTGCAAAATAGCTTTCATTGATACTGAGAATATTACAAGATGAGGGCCCAAAGCCATTACATCAGAATAAACTAAAAGTAAACTACGCTATACTTAAGTTGATGGTAGGGGCGCCTTGACAGCTGATGCCTCCGAAACTCCAGCTTCAAGGTTGTCCTCATCCTCAGCCACGTCATCGCCAACTGTTTCCTCAGCAGGGGTTTGAGGAACTTCATCTATAAACTCCGACCTCAGTTGAGATAGGTCGCAGTTTGGATAAAGCTCCTCAGACCTCTCCATCATCTCGGCATAAACAAAGGTCCTCCAGTATAGGCCGAAGTGTCAGTACTCCTCTGTGAGATGGAAGTTTGCGATGTAATCCCTGATCGCCTCCTCCCGAGTTACCTCGGCCTCTCCTCGAATCTTCTGCAGCTCATCTACATGCCACTTTATTTAGCCTTCCAAAAAGTGGTACGCATCCTTAGCCCCGTCAACTCCAAATTAGCCTACTCCAGGGCCTTAGCGGTCACCTTCTGGTGATTATTAGAAATCTCCACCTTCTTGGTGAGGGAGGCCACCTCACATTGAGACTTGTAGACCTCTTTCTTTAAAGCCTCAATCTGGGCCAAGGAAGATTCTAATTTCGCAGCATCTTTGATCTTTTGGGCCTTTATTTCTCAACCCTTATTTTCTTCAGTTCCTCCTCAGCAGAGACCAACTTGTCCCTGGAGGACTTATTCCTCGTCTGAAAGTCGACGAGTGTTTTCCTGCACTCAAGTGCGAGGCCCAAAGTCCTCACATTTTGGCTAACTAAGGCCTGAGTAAGGTCCATCGCGTCGCAGTTTGAGGCATGCATCTGCCACCAGTCGATCCAGAACTTATAAAAACTTTCAGTGGCACCACGGACCTCAGCAGGTAGTGCATCCAATAAAGCCGGTACCAGCGGCCAGAAAATTGGGGGACTTTCCTTGAGTCCTAGCTGGCCTCTCCTTAGCCGCCTCCTCCTTGACTTCTGCTGCTGCCCTCCTAGCAGCTTCCTCCATGGCCTCCTCAGTCTCAGCTTTTCTCACCATTTCAACTTTTACTTCCTTCATGGCAGAGTCTAACAGCTTCGGTTGAGGAGAGGCATCCTTGCTCGAATAGAACACTGATGTCCCAAACTTTTCGTAAGAGCTGGTAACATGAACCAGTCTCCTCTTCTTATGGGAGTCCTCGAGGACCTTCTCCTTACCCCGAGGTTCCTTCGCCTTCTCAGACCTTTGGGGGGCCTCCTCTCCTGACCCCCTAGAAATACCATCCTTTGACAGCCTCTCCAGTTGACTTCTGACCTCCTTTGTCGCACTGGAGCTTGGCTTCAGAGCCTCGTCCCCACTGTGGAGGTGGCTCTCAGAATTGAAGCCATGTCTGGGATGGGGTACTTCCTTTTCTTGAATTTATCTGTAAAAACACAATAGGTCAGCACTGAATATCAAACAAGTACAAATTTGATCAATTGGATGCATTTCTTACCCTTGGAGGCCATTAGTTCGAAATCCACGAAGTACCGGCTTCGGTCAATGAGGTGGTCGAAGTGGTGAAGTTTCAAAAGCCTCTTATATATGTCCTCGATGACCTCGAACTCCCCCTTGCTGAGCTCAAACCTCGTACTGGAATCTGGAAAATAAGTGGCAATAGTCAACAGAAAATTGAGGAACTTAGCAAAATGTAAACATCTCAAGCTTGGACACTCACGAGCTTCGTAGTACTAGGTCGGTACTGTGCAAGCCGCGACCTTATCCCCCTCAACCACCTGCCACTTTCCTTGATGGAAGAAGACAACCCCACCACGAAGAGTGCGTGAGCTCCCCAGGGTGTGATGTAATACCACCCCTTCGACTCGTCTTTGCCTAAGACGCGAGGCTGAAAAAGGGTCTGAAAGATGTGCAGAGGCATGTCTTCTCCTAACAAAACTTCTTTTCATAAGAAGTATGACCCCACTAGCTAACTTCATCCATTCGGCAGAACCTGGTTCAGTGACAACATAAAATTCCTTAGCATAGCCATAAAAAAGAGGTGCAGAGGAAGACGCGTACCTGCTTTGAACTGGTATTCACTTACAGCCACACATTAGGCCTCAAAAAGCAAGCCCTTTCGTGGGCCTCAGGAACTAGCGTCTCCACATAATAAGGGACACAATATTTTTCCCTAATTTTCTCCAACTTCTTCAAGGTGATGTTTGATGGTATCCTAGCAGCCCCCCATTCTTCCTCGTAATCTATAGGCTCCTTGGTCATGGTATAATACTCCACCTCAGAGTCTCCACTCAAAACAGCCCCCTCACCCAATCTAGCTATGGTCACCAATTCTCTACCCGAATTGGACTCCATATCACAAAATTTGAAAAATCGACAAAGATCGTAAAAGAAATTATTCTTGCAAGGAATACCTACAGGAACAACTAACAAACGACAAACTGCAACACGCCGAAGTTTGAAATCGGAGCAAGACTTTCGACGCTGGAAGCTTAAGAAAATTCAGAGAACACAAAAGTTTAACGATGAAGAAGGGTTCACAATGCAAGGCTTTGGCCTTTTATAGGAAGCCAAGAAGAACCCCAGCCCGTGGATGAAGGCACCATGAAATCTTAGCCCTCCAATCTTGGGTTAAATTCGAAGCGTAGAATTCAAATCATTTTGAAACCTACGCCTCAGATTCAAATGTGCCCGTCACGCACCTCCCCAAATGCGTCTCCTTCTAGAAGCCCCAACTATAGCCATCATTGCACATTTAATGCAGCAGTCGTAGGTGCCTTGGAAGTTGCAACGATTCGACTGGTTTTTCTTGGTAATGTGCACAAAACATCAAATCATTGGCACGAACATCGAAGACAATCAATACTCCACTCACCGCCTCGACTTTCTCTGCTTCTTCAAATTTCAGCAACTTCACAAGCCTCGACAGGTTCGATTCCCTCACCGCCCTGCTTTCTCTGCTTCTTCACATTTCAGCAATTTCACAAGCCTCAGTAGGTTCGATTCCCTCACCATCCCGACTTTCTCTGCTTCTTCACATTTTAACAACTTCATAAGCCTCGACAGGTTCGATTCCCTCACCGTCCCGGCTTCCTCTGCTTCTTCACATTTCAGCAAGTTCACAAGCCTCGATAGGTTCGATTCTCTCACCTTCGACAGGTTTGATTTTCTCACCGCCCCGACTTTCTCTACTTCTTCACATTTCAGCAATTTCACAAGCCTCGGTAGGTTCGATTCCCTCACCGTCCCGACTTCCTCCGCTTCTTCACATTTCAGCTTCAAAAGCCTCGACGGTGACCGACTCGACAACACAACTTCACATGCTAATCCGAACAACAACACTTTCAACTCCAACCATGATATAAATATCTATACTTAAACTTGGGGGACTATTATTAAGGGTATGAAAATTCCATACACTTCACCACAATAAAAGTCCACGCATTACGTAAATGACTATACTTGGACTCGGGGGACTATTGTTACGTGTTATCACACCCGGTCGACCTACTGGGCCCCATAGCCCACTTCTATCGAACCACGTGACATCTTATCCGAAGCCCCCAGGCCAACAGGAGTAGACCAGATACTGTAACCACGCCCATGACGTGGCCCAAGTGCTGACGTGAAGTGAATATGTAATGTGGTATTCTAGCCGAGGCCCATCACTTCGAGACCTTGAGGCTCTAAGCAGCACTCCTCTCTAGAGATCCGATCTTACACAAGGATCCTTCCTGATGGATTGATGGGACACCCATCATAGAGTGCAAGTGTCTTGTCTTGTCAATGCAGTGGCGGAGCCGCCGACTAATAAATGTGTAGCTGACTAGAAAGTCAAATGTGATACCTATAATTTGACATGGACACTT